ACTATTCGGTGGGATAATAACCCCTACTTGTGTTCTAAACTAAAAACTTAAATTCTCTTGGTAATATATCAAGTCATGTCTATATTTAGTAATAATTCCAAATTAATAATTTATGTAAAATCTTCACTTAAATTATCGACATGTGGATGATTTTGAGTGAATACTAATATTATAACAGTGATGGGCAGCGAAAGTGATATTTTTACAGTCGATTTAATTGATTTTTGTATTTTATGTGTATAAATATATTTTTAAATTTATTTATTTTTAATTTTAAATTAAAAAATAATGATTATTTAATGAGTATATTGTGTATTATATTGAACCAAATATATACCAATCACTATATTTTTTTGTTAAGATTATTAATTTAATTGCTATTTTATTAAATTATAATTTTTTAAATAATGAATTATAATATTTAAAAATATTTATTTATAATTAATGTTACCTTATTAAATAATAAATATTAATTACAAATTATTTTATTTTTTTAATCTTAGCAAAGGCAGCAAAATTATGTTTCCCATAACCATTTTCAGTTTAGTTCGCTTTCGTCTATTGTAAATTAATGGCGACCTTTTGCCAAAATAAAAAATTTAATGGCGACTATGGATGTGTGTCGGTGCGTCCAAGCATCAAGTTGATTGTGAAAAATGGGCTCTTCTTCCATTGGCCGCAGATAATTGAGTGGGTTCTTAGCATGCGATTTTAGGGTTTGTTATGTTTATAAATTTAAGATTCTAATATCCACTTGTCCCCAATGCTTTTTCTAATTTCTCATTTTTCATATGTATAATTTTTTAATTTTTTATTTTTTTATTAGCAAAACAAAAATATTTTATTTAATGGAGGTACTCCTACCCTTCTATAGAGAAAATAAAATGCTTACACTCCGAGCAAATAAATTCAAGAAAGCAGTTACAGCACAAAGAATGTTAACAACCCAAAAAACACTGAACAAACAACCACCAATGTTACCCATGAAAGAAATCAGTACTTCAGAAAAAACTATTTGGAAGGAAGTCGTTGTTGATGCTTATTAAATAGTTTGAGAGATCTCTTGTAACGCTTCAGCTCCATTGCACATTCCACGGGATTACTCTGCCACTGAGCTAATGGGAAAACACACCCAATCACCTTATTTCTGATACAAAAATAAGACTTCATTTGAATTAACTCCAACAGTTGCTCTCTAAGATCCCCATTGCTCCGAAATACCAAACCATTCCTCCAATACCATAAATACCAAGAGGTAACCAAAAAAATGCAAGCACCCATCTCCTTACTCACCAATCTACCCAAACACCATATGAAAAAATCAACCACACCCCTCACTGTAGCCGGCATCACCACCTCCAAACCCCACCACTGAATCACCTTCACCCATACTAACCAAGCTACCTTGCATGTGCAAAATAGATGATCAACATCTTCCACACCCTCCTTACAGAGCCCACACACCATACCATCCCCCTATAATACCACGCATCGCTTCTGCAAATTCCACCTTGTTGGAAGTCTATCTAGACACAACCTCCACCCCAAAAAAACCCACTTTAGAAGGCACCAACTTGCACCATATCAATTTACACAGCTGGCCCTCAAGCAAGCACTCCATAGGAGCTAAAAAATCATATGTTGTCTTAACAATATATCTACCTTCTACATCATACCTCCACTGCCACGAATCTGCCAGACCTTTCCTTAGCTATACACTCCCCAACACCTCCCACAACCCGTTCTCCTCATCCTTTTCACAACCCATCCTCGCTCTTCACCACTCTATGCCCCATTGCCAACATTCCCCTTCCCATATCCGATTCTCCTTAACCATACCTTCCTTATTTATGGCTAACTGAAAAAGCCTTGGAAATAAATCTCGTAGAGATTTATTCCCCACCCAAATATCTCTCCAAAAACCCACCCGGCATCCATCCCCAACCTCCCACCGAAACCCCTATGCCAACATATTCTTTAACTTCTTTAATTTCCCACCTATACTAATAGTGTCTCCCCAAATTCTCGACACCCTTAAGTTCTCCACATCTATAATACCCACCTCTTGCCTGCTATTGTAAAATTTCTCTTTCACTACCCTTTTCCGTAAACCCTCCCTTCCAT